AAAAGTGACGCCGCACCTGATTGGAATTCCTTCTGCTCTCTCTCTGACCTCCGCCAGAGCTTTCAGCGCTGTGAAAGCTCTGTGGAGTGTCTCTGGTCAAAACAGGCCAGAAATGGCAGAAGATTCTGTCCTTCAACGAGAGACACAAACAATGCGGAGGAAAAGTTTGCGTCAAAGTTGCTCAATTTTCCATCCTCTTTCGACGTGACGTGCAGAATTGACACGGAGTGCAAGGAAATGAACAGAAAAGAGAGCTTTCGTCAAAGTTTTCAGCAGGAAATTTTCACACTGCCGCGGGCTGAACAGAGTTTTATCCAAATATACAGATTGTTCTGTAAATTTTACCTCAACAGCTCGACAAAATGCACATAAGAAGGCAAGTTTTCTACTAATTGAGATTTTATGCACGAATAGAGTTGCCAAAATCATAGAAAAGTAACCTCTTTGTCAAAAATTCATCATGTTTCAACATAGAGGAATTCAATTTGCACGACAAAGTTCAAAGATTAATCCATCATCTTTCGCGTTAGTTATCAAAAACCACTGCGAACGCTTGTCTCGCTTGTTTGTTGCCCTGCACTTTGCATCAAAATTAATCTGTCGAGTGTTACGAGCTCAATTTCATTCTCTCTCTCTCACAGGAAAAGCTGGAAAGACGCTACGAAACTTCCCGTTGAATTTGCCAAACTTCTTGTTTACTTCCGAGACAATTATCCGCTCTTCGCGGATCTCCGGAGGACTTGCAAGCGATCCCGCAGCATTTCCCTCACAATCATGCATAATTTCGTGTGCAGTTCTTTGTGGTGGCAAAAGTGGGCTGACATGAGGATCATAATTTTGCACGACACTTAACCTGATTCTCGTCACGAGCACGAAGTGCAGGAGAATTCTGCGGTTTTCACCGCGCTTCTGCATCATTTAAGACGTCACTCTCTTCACAATTGCGCTTCCTAGCAAAAGTTCCCGCCACGCGGCGGGAATTTTCATCGCTCGCTCCAATTTGATCAGTATTTTATTCCATTTGCCTACTGGAATTACAAGAAAAAGTGAAAAAAAAATTCATGTTTCACTAGAAATTAATAAGCAATTAATTTTCAATTCACATTTAACGAAATTCCTTGAAAAAAAAACCTTATTTCCTCATAAATTAATTATAAAAGGTGTGTTTAATATATTTATTCTTTAGCGAAAACACAACAAATCGTGAGAGAGCGAAAGGTTTTTCCCATTTTCATTCATCACCAAAGCTGGAACGAGATGTAAAAGTGATTTAAACAGACATTGAAGTTATATTTTGTAATTTGTACTTAAGCTTCGCATTTGTACTTGAAGGATTTCCTTTGAAATGCACTCAAAGGGCAACTAATTGCAAAAATACACGAGATGGATTGAAAATACCAAGAGAAAACCTTGGAGAAAACAAAGCAATAGGGTTGAGAGTTCGTGGAATTTCGGGATTTACATGTTCTCTCTAGAGAAAACCTGCCAGGGAAAAAAAAGCCACAGAAGTGAAAATGAAATTGACGGTAAGTTTTCCAGGATAATAATGCGATGACACAGTTTGAAGCTCGGGCAGAATCCTCCGTGGAGATTAAGGGCAATAATTCAAAATCATCCCCCAGTAATGACACAGTTGAGTCAGTCTTGGGGATGGAAATTAATTGAGTCGTGTGCACAGGGAAAATCCCACGTCGAATGGGAAACATTTCTCTGTCAAGTAAAACATTTCGCTGTGGAGCATTTTCCCACTGCGAAATTGCTCTCATGGGAGAAAACTTCATTTTTGATGTATTAAAGCGCTTCAGACGCAGCGTAACGAACAGTAATTGCGAAGAGTTTAAACAAGAAGCAAATGCAATGCCAGAGAATGATTATTTAGATTTAATGTGAAGTCTGAGATCTTTAATATGAACTTGGCGCTCAAAGAACAATTCAAGGGGCAGATATTATGGGCGGAAATGGTGTACAACTTCACGGAAGTATTAGGAATTGGATGTGGTAAAATATTTTGAATATTTACACCACAAATTGAGGCAAAATCAGGAAATCAAGACAGAAATTGTTCAAAAATAAATCATGAGATATTAAGATCATTTCATACAATCTTAAATCGAAGAATATTAAGTGCTTAAACTTCTTGAGACAGAAAAACTCGGATTAGATTGTGATAAGTTATAAATGCATGTAAGAAAACAGTTGAAAGGATCTATAAAGCGATGGAAAATGCCTTTAAAGATGTTCAGAAGTATCTGAAGAGAGCTGAAATTTTAAGAACAGTATTCAATAGAGTGCATAATTTGTCTGAAGTTCATTAAAAAGGTCATAATAAAATCGTTCAAACTAATTAATGGTGTTTTCGAGGCAAATCTGAATTTGCTTCAGTTGATTTTAGCTGCAAATTCAGTTCCGGGAATCTCAATTTCTCTATCTCAGTGACCTTTATTTGCCAAGTAAATCCATCAACTTCTTTTAGTTTTACACTGTGTTTACAGTTCGAGATCCGAAGAGCAATAAAACTCAAGATTGTTTGATAATCCTCTTCTGTTCGACCTTTTATTCGGTGGTGGAAAAGGCAACAACAAGTCACTGGGGAATGTGAATAAAAATCGATAGATATACCTTCTTCAATGCATCCAATTTCCTTATCAGCAAACAAGGACTTTGTGTTTGCTCACAGCGGAAATAAATACTCAATTCCGTTCTTCTCTGCTGCTGCTGCAGAAGTTCTTGCCTTGCGAAGCACCTCTGTTTAATTTCCCCATCAAATACAAGTCTGGGCTTAAATGCATTTCGCTGTCGTGATTGCAGTGAATTTTCTCACTGCACTCACTTCCTGCTTAAACTCCGTCCTTCCTTCATTTTCCTTGCCAGGAGACGAAGAAGAAGAAGCGAGAGAGGCGCTTTGAGAGCTGAGCGTCTTCCTGAATTGCGGGGCGCCTTTTGTCGCACTCAAAGGCGCTCGTTTGCTGCTCAGCAATCCAGTGAATGCTGAAGAATTTCCTCCGAATGGCATTTCTTAACGTGTGTCACCCTTTTTTTCCTCCTTCTCCTCCAGGACGCACAAATCCGCGCGGAATTTCGTAAGGATGGCTTTCTCACCGGGCAAATTTGTCTCTCTACACTTTCCATTGAGATACTCAGCATCGTCCGGAAATGGTTGGTGGCGAACAAAGAGGCCATTGAGTGGCTGAAGAATTTGTGAATCAATAGGAAAGGAATTCGCGCGCGCGTCCAACAAAGAAAAAAAAATGCCACGGAGATGAGATTGTGAGATGCGATTTCTCGAGTCGTGTCAATCTCACACTTTTTCTCTTCCACCCTCAACTCCTCCACTTTCCCACGGGGTGTAATTTCTGTGCGGAGGGAAAATGATGCGAGATTGTAACGTATCGCTCTCGCCATTTCCCGCCTTTTTGCGTGGAGTGTGAAAAAAGCACATCATGCGCTCCGCTGAAGCCCAGAGGCTGAGAGCGATAGAATCTCCAGCCGCAGACGCTGCCCAAGGGGGAAATAATAAGGCCAGAAGTGGTGTACAAACCAGGAGAAGCTTTAGGAAGTGGAACTGTTCCAGTTTATGCAATATTTTAATTTTCTGTTGATTATTTTACTCTCAGAAATTAATTTTAAGCCCAGATCGCATTTTGTTATATTTTTCTAGGTTATGTGACTGATTTAAGACTAAATAAGATCTTAAAGTAGAATTTCTTGCATCTAAATTGAAAGTATTTTCGCTTTTTTAATAGAATTGTGTATTTTTACTCAAACAAAATCGAGATTTTAGAAAATTATGCTAAAGTTGAGCGAAAGTGCAATTTTAGTGGAAAAAAAATCATAAAATATGTATGAAAATGTGAATTTTAATCTTGTCAGTCAAATTTCAGTTAGTTTTTGGTATGATTTTAGTCTTGTTACAAACAATCCATGAATTGTGAAATCCTAGGAAAGTGTTAAGGATTTTTCATACAATTTGTAAAAATGTTGTACAGATTAAAGCCACAATATCTTCCCCTTGGCGCCGCCTTTCCACCTCGTGTGAGTTTGCCAGCTGGAAAAGAGCGGCAGGAAATATTGTAAGCATAAAATTCAGAGGGAGGGAAAAACTGCCAGTGATTTCTTTCAAACGAAAACCGTCACTTAGCCGAGACACACTCTCTCTTAAGAGATTTTCTGCTAAATTAAAAGACTGCGGGGGAAATATTTTTGAATATATTTATATATTTTATGCAAGACAATCGTATAATTCAAAAATCCATTTACCTATCACATATGTAATGTATTTTATATGTAATTCCTTTTCTTCAATTGTGTTTATTTTGCAATTAAATTATAAAAATCTTACAATAATTTCAACTGTTCACGTATTTCAAAAAATGTTCTCATTTATATCCTACAATATGCAGATTTATCCTTCATAGCGAATAAAAAGGACACAATAGAAACTGTGTTTTATTAGTTATTGCAGAAACTACAATTATAGCGAAGTTTTTTTTGCGTGACAATCTTTTTCGTATAGCTTTTTTCCATTCATATCATCCATCAAATTGTGCCATTTTCAATGCGAAAAAAAGGAAAAGAAATTTGATGGAAAAAAAAACATAAGAATTGAACAACAGAAATTATGGAATAAAGTAAGAGTAAAGTGAACGAAAAAAAAGGACATTGTCACGTTATTTTCTATGATATTTCGTAATATATTTATTTTTTTTAATACAGTACGCGCTATTCTAATTCAATTAATCTTCTTCTTCCCTCTTTCGTCTCTCAAAATGTGATGGCTCATGTTAATTTGATTATTTTTGATTACTCTTCTAATACATTGTTTCCTTTTCTCTTATCTTCTGCATCCACACTAGTGCTTTCCTCCTCTCTCTCTCTCTCTCTCTCGTCCTTGTAATATTTTCAATATATAGTCAAGAAATATCTAAATTACACGAAGAATTACAGCTACGCAAGTTTTGAAAATCAAGATACTTCTAAACTTATTTTCTTACACGGTTTTCAAATTAGACACCTTTTCTCGTCACGTCGTTTTTTTTTACACGTTGCTTTATTTTTATGAACTAAACGAAGGATAATTTGTATATAAATTCAGCAGAAATTGGGCGATGGGAATATTTCTCTCTCTCTCTCTCTCACTTAATAATTTGGTGCTTTTTTCTCATCATAATTTTTTAAATATCGTTGTTGGGTTTTCTGGTTAAGAGACAAAATTCGTCTTCTCTTCTTTTCGGCGTCTTTTCGCTTCACTCCGCGTTTTTCTTCCCTCATTTTTTTTTCTTTCTTTTGGCAAAAATCGTGAATACATGTTGGACCCATTTAACCACAATTTTCATCAGTTCGCTTTCTTGTCAATTGATTTGGTTTTCCATGCTTTTTTCCACCCCTAAAAATTCTTACTTTCTTCATATTCAATGCATTAAACACGAACAACACAAAAAATGCCAAGCAAAATTATACTTTCTCAATCAAATTTATCGTCCTTTTTCCATTCTTTCTTTCTTGTCACCAGAAAACAACAAATCAAAACGCCAAAGACAAAGCAAAAACAATTTAGAGAGAAGAAATGAAAGAAAAAACAGAGAAAAAATGTTGAAAGGAGAGAGAAAAGAAACACAAATTAAAGTACTTTTTTATTCTCTCATTTAATCAAAGAAAAATAGCTAAAAATGTGAAATTTTATAAGGAGACTCTCAATTTCGCCCCTTTCGCACATCCTTAATTACTCCCTTTTTCTTTCCTCTCTACATTCTCACGCGACTCTGCCTTAAACAACCTCAAAGGTAGCTTCAAAAGAGACGGCAAATTAATACAAAAAAAATGCTTATCGAGGAGACAGAAATTCATCCTGTTTCATGAGTATTCCTACATTTTTTTTTCTTTTTCCTTCAATAACTCCCTTCGCAGCCCCCAAAATGTCCATCCTAAGTTCAGCAATAGCAGATATATCAGTTTATCTCACTTGTAGCTCGTGATATCCTTTATTTCTACCATGGGATTACATTGACAATTAGTGAAAATTTTTTTTTACCAACTACAGTATTTTTTTTTATACAAATATTATCAAAAAAGAAAAATTGATTCGATCGAAAAATTGTTCTTTGAGCTTCGATTTGCGCATCCTCAACTTTTTCTCTCACTCTTTTTCTCTTTCACTTCTACAAAAAATTGTGTATGGAAAAAACATGTTTGCATGTTGAAAAGTGTTTCGTATCAAAAAGTTTCTTCTTTTTTCATTCTATATATTCATCAAATATCATTTCTTTTTGTTGTTGTATAATAAGAAAAGTGTCTGTAGAAAATGGGTAGATTTTCGCCCTCTTTTTCCCCTGAAAAAAATTCTCCCTTTTCTTTTCATCATCAAAAATGATCCTAAATTGACCGTGATTTTCATTTGATCGTCGTAGAAAAATTTCTTTCCCTCATTTTTCTATATATATGCATTCATTTTGAGGGTGTTTTTTTCGTTTCAATATTTTCTTTCATTAACAATTAGCAAGTTTATATTAAAATAATTACAGACGAAAAATTTCATTCATTCTCCTCTTTTTCTTCCTCTTCTTCTCCTTTTCTAAAGTGCAATATTTCTCGCAATGGATGATCGATCAAAATGTCAGGATGTTTTCTAAGTGTGTTCTTCTCTCGTTCCAGCAATTCTTTCCCTCTCTCTCTTATTCCACCTTGACAGCATCGGCAGCTGGAGGCGTTTGGGCCGCAGCAGCGGCCTTCTCAGCTGGAGCAGCAGGCGACTCTGGAATTTCCTGCAAGAAAGGAAGATTTTCAGTCAAATCAGACTCTCTCAAATTATTGCCACTCTTCCTCACACTCACTTTCTTCTCCTCCGAGTGTCCATTCTCCGCCGGCGTCACTTCAGCCACTGGAGCCGCATCAGACTGCAAAAGTCAGCAAAAGCGCCAGATTAATACGCATTGCCAAAGAATTTCAACCACCTTTTATCAAGAGACAGACAAATCGCAATCAAAGACATGTTTTTGTCAAATAATCCCAAATTGTCTGTCCTGTTTCAATCTCAAAAAAAACCCCATAAATTCAAAAACCAAATTATATTAAAGTGATTAGGCACAAAACTAAGTAAATACTGGATAAATTAAGCTCAACTAATAGGAATTATTAATATTGATAAAAAGGGACTAAAAAGAAGCGCATGAAAGTGGGAAAAAGCAGGTCAGGTATATAAAAGAAAGAGAGAAAAAAACCTGTGAAGCATTTTTGGAGAGGATTATTTGTTTGGGGAAGAATTTTTCTAGGACAATTTCCAGAGAGAATCTCTTGATCACAAACACAGCTTTCTTTTCGCCCTCTAAACTTTGTTACTTGTTTGTTTTTTGCTTTTCAGGCGCATTTGACGAACATTCACAGGACAAATATATATGGATTAATAACAGAATGAGGCGATTTTTTTCCGTGGAAAACTTCTACCGCAAAGGGTTAATTGAACACACACAAACACAGCGTGGATTTCATCGAACACAATCGTGTCCTGGCTAAGCGGACACAACAAGAGAGACAGAGAGAGAGAGAGCGAGAGAGAAAGAGAGAGAGAAACTCTATCAAGGACACACTGATCGATTAATGGGGACACTTTTCTAAAGCGGGCCTTTTTCTCTCTCTGGCTTTTCACTCTTCATCTTCATCTTCTTCTTCTTCAGCCCCTGGACATTTTGTGTGTGGTTTTTTTTGATTTTGGTTTTGGTTTTTTTGTGTGTGAAATTCACCTTCACTTGTTGCTCAGCATGCCCATTGACCTTCTCATCAGTCACAGGAGCAGCAGCGGGAGTTGTTGTGGCCTGATCGGCTGGCGGAATGCTTTGGGACTCTTCGGCGGTGACTTTCTTCTCCTCCTCCTCCTTGGGCGGCGGCGGCGGCAGCTCCTCGGCCGCCACTTCCGTCTTCACATCGCCAGAAGACACCACTGGCGACTCTGGCGGCGGCAGTGGCAAACTCGCTTCGCTGGGCGTGAGAGAGGAAGGCGGCGACGGCAGAGTTTCTAGGCTATTCTGCGGCAAAGGCGACGAAGCGTCCGCCGAGAGTTCTTCCTGGACAGACGTTGGGGCCGATTCGGCAGCCTCGGCGGCCGGCGGAGGAGGCGGGAGAGACTGCTCTGTGGTGGCCGCCTCGTTCACTTTGTCAATCAGGGCGATCGTCTCGGCGATCGCTTCCTGCTTCGGCTCGGCTGGCACCTCGGACGGAGCTGGAGTGGCTTCGGGAGCAACAGGAGCGACTTCAGGAGCAACTTCAGGAGCAACTTCAGGAGTGGGAACGGGAGCCGCCTCTGTGGCAGTGACAGGGGCAGTTTCGGCAGCTGGAGCGGGAGTCTCAGTCGCTGCCGCGACTGGAGCCTCCTCAGGCGTGGGAACTGGAGCTGGAGCCGCTTCCACAGCAGCAGGAGTTTCAGCCACCGGGGCGGCAACTTCTGGGACAGGAACAACTGGGACTTCTTCCGACACTGGAGCCGGAGCTGGAGCTGCAGTTTCGGGAGCGGGAGCAGGAGCTTCTGTGGGTTTCGCCTCCTCCACTGGAGCAGCCGCCGGTGCCTGAACCTCCGCCTGGGCCTCCGGAGCCTTCACCTCGGCCTCCTGTGGCGCCGCGGACTGACCTACGACCTCAGCGGAACCATCATTCGCAACGGGAGCAGCGGGTGTAGTGGCAACTGGGATAACAGGAGTTTCGGACTCTGTCGCCGTGGACATTGCACTCTCAGCGAACACCATCACCTTAGAGGGTGGCGGAATAGTGGGAAGTGGAGGAGGAGCGCCCTCACCAGCCTCGACAGTTTGTTCTGACACCTCTTCGGGCTTCTTTACCTCTTCGGCCGCGGCCGGCGGAGCGGCCACCTCGGGAGCAGCCTCCACTTTGGGCGCCTCAGCCTCTGTGGTGACCTCAGGAGTCGCCTCGACCTTCGCCTCCACGGCGGCGACGACCGGCTCCTCAGCCTTCGCAGCTGCCGCTGGCTCGCCATTCTGCACCGGAGCAGGAGCAGCAGCAGCAGGAACGGCGGGCTCCTCCTTCTTCTCCTCCACGGGCGCCTGTGCTGACGGCTCTGCTGCCTTCACTTCCTCCTTCTTGGGCGCCTCCGCGGCCGGAGCAACAACCTCTTCAGTCGCCTGCAATTGAGCAAAATGAGAAGAAGCGCGTGAGTCTGTGCGCACGAGCTGAGAAATCAGATCTTCCTCTTAAGAGAAGAAGTAAAAAAAAATCACAGGAAGCTCATCTCGTACACGCGATTATCAACCTACACAAGAATGTTCTATTTATTGCTGTGGCGAAAAAAATTATTGTGCGTCCTTCTCTAGTCATTTTTTCAAAAATAGCCCAACTTTTGTAGCAAATTTTTGCCAACAGAAAACAACTTTCTTAGTCACAACTCTCACGGCGGCTGTGATTGAAATATTTGCAAATTTTCCGCAATCTTCACAAGCAAAGAAAAAATATAAATCAGAGAGAGACGAAGAAAAGTGCTTTTTAGCCAAAATATCGCGATTTTCGCGCATCAGAAAAAATAACGCAAAATGACTAATTGCTGGCAAAAGGATAATATAAATTCTGACAAATTAATGCATTAATATGGCATTTTGACACCACATTTGGCTCCTCATCAAATTGTGTGAATGATTTGTAATAAAATTAGCAACTTTGTGACACACTTTTTTCTGCATTAATTGTGAATCACTTTCGTTGAAAATCTCACTCTCAAGACACAATAAACAACACACCTTTTGATCCATTCTAAAGTACTTCAAGACTCTGCGATATAATCTCCAGAAAAAATCCACTTTTTCTACCAAAAAAAAATCACACCGTCGAAGGGATCACAGTTAAATCCCTATTTTTTAATTCCTCACAGGAAATTTTCACAGAGGAAAAGAAGATCAAAGCCAATTACACACTCCTTTAATTCATACAACACAAGAAGAAATATGATCGGAAGATTAAGAGATGATCTCGATGCTCGCGCAAATCCACAAAGACTGAAGAGTTGCACTTGGAATCGATTGAATTTATACCAAGAGAGAGACTCTGATCTTGTGTGGTTTCTTGGCTATGCGAAATAACACTTTTCACGTCTACGTCGCAGAAATTTTCATCAATACTCCATCCTTTTCCCTCTCCCTCTCTCTCTTTTTTTCTTCATCATCGTCTCCTTCCTCACAACACCACACAACACATAATCTGACGACATTCCCGCACAACAAATGATCTTTTAATCTCTCTCTCTCTCTTCTTCTCAACGCGCGCACACATGTTTTAATCTCATTTTTCCACCTCACCACCGCCAAGCCAGAATCATCAGACCAATTGCAGAAACTCTCCTCCACTTACAATTGTTGCCTCTTGTCTCTCGTCTGTCCTGTCAATTTCTTCTTCTCTTCCCGCGTATCATTTTTCTCACAAGCACGAAGACACTTTTCTGCATCAAATTTCCATCTTTTCACCCAACCTTCACCTTCATCATGACACACAAAATCCGCTACAATTCACACGACACATTCGAAGAGTTTCTGGAGCAGAAATATCCACCCTTCCTTCCTCAACAGCATTTTTTTTTTTTTGGATATTTGATCTGGGCGTCAGCACAGAAAAATGTGACAAAGAAGTTGATTATTTGGAAAGAAAGCAGTGGAAAAGTCACATTATTATTAATATCCATTAAGCCGAAGATTGCGCGCACCAGACGTGAATGAAAGAGAGAGAAAAAGCGGAAATAGAAAAGCCAGATAACTTCACTGAAAGCAACACTGCTGCAGAGTTATTTCCGGAATCTTCCATCCAATATATCTACTACAAAACCACAGTGAAGAGCCAAAATCTTGAGACTAAGCGCGAATGTAGAAAATACTTCTCTTTCCATGCTTCTTCTTCCTCTACGCTCAAAACCACTGTAAATCCTGCAGAATTTCAGTTTTATCAGTTGACATTTTCAGGCCTTGAGTGAAGAAGCCACAAAACAATTGGAATGATGACGACGATATTTCTGTTTCTCATGCACACAAAATACCATCCCATTGGCAAATTAGGAAGGAATAAAAGGCTCGATCAGAAGAGAGGGAGAGAAGAAGAACCTCTAAGAATAGCTCACACACATCATCATCATCATGATCATCATGATCATTTCAGACCAAACTCTGATCGCAAATGTACAATAAATTCAGGGTTGTTCGCAACACACGACACAAGCGCGCGCGCGTGAAAGAGAAGAAAGGACGAAAGGTATTTGCATTGGCAATTGCAGAGCGCCATAAATCGATCGCGAAGTCACCACCCAAATTGCCTTTACCATTTTCTAAATTGTCTTCTCTCTCTCGACAATTTCTATTTCAAGACACTTCATTCGACGCAATTTATGTACATATACATTATTCTTGTTGATCACAATACAACATCTTTGCGGCTTTAATGAGTGGATAAGAGTGTCTTGATTTTTATTATTGTCTCTCCAATTTTTTATAAGAGACTTTTGTAGCATTTAAATACTGTTAAAACATCGTCATCATAATGAGAACACAGACTTCTCTTATCCTGTTCTTCTGTTTATATTTTTCTCCCTCATCTTCGCGTGATCACTTCTTTCATCATCATTTCAACATTTTATGCTCTTATTTACTAAAGCCATAGAATTGCGCGCGGCTCAACTTCTGATGAAGCAAATCTACAATCCCAGAAGCGCCGCGCCTCAAGTGATCTTTTCTTGTTAAATACAATAATAATGATAATAATTGAGAAATTTTGGTCATCTGGTAGCGGCGTTTGAAGGAACGCGCGCGCTTCTTTCAGCGAATTTTCAGGGCCAACAAATCTTCACGAGGAGACTTTCGAGAGAGACAGAGAGAGAAAATCAGGGAATGTGCGACGACAGATCACGGCGCACAAATGAGAAGGTCATCATCAATGCTGCTTCCTTCTCCACCAACCCGTATTTTTTTCCTCATTTCCTCGCCTTCTTTTTATAAATATTGCGTGTCACTTTTAGGATAAAAATAAATCATAAAACTACAACACGCTGCGACTTATTTACACTTTCCCTCCACCATTTATTCTTTTTTTCATCTTCCATACGACACAATCTCATCTCATCGCTCTTTTGCAGAAATGTAGAACAGTGATTTGCCTTCAACTCTCCAATTCTTGTTCTAATAAAATTCCTTTAGTCACTCTTTCGCTCTTTCTCTCTCTCTCTCTTTTTCTGGGGAAAATTTGACACATTTCAGAAGAATTTCGAAGACAGAAAGTAGCAGAAAAAAAGCTTACATCTTCTTCTCAACTCAACTCAAACAATCAGGACACAAAGATAAAACGATGAAAAATAAATATTCGCCAAATAGGAAAAGACATTGGAAAAATGATTGAATTCTAAGCAATAATTCAATGTGTGATTATTTTAATTTGACGCTCACGAGGACATGAAATTCTGCAACCCAAGAAGCGCCCCGGATAACATTATAAACAAACAATCTCTGCGCAAAAGAGATTTTGCGATGCGAACGAAATAAAAATTAGATCAGAATGTCTCTCAAAGCGCATAACTTTTCTCATAAAGTCAAACTTATCAATTGCATCGCAAAAACACACCCTAAAATAAATCTTGCAGTCTAAAACTTCAGTTTTATTATTAATCCCCATTGATTAAAATTAATTCTCCCTAGAGAAGGATAAAATATGACTGTTTTAAACATGAAAAACCACAAGATTCACACCCTCTTCTTTTAGGCGACAAACAACAAATTCTCAGCCCCTCAAAAAGTGTTCATTTTGCACATGAAAATTACAATAATAATCATAATATAAATGACGAAACATATTTCAGTGTCAGAGACCAAGTGTGCGCGCCAGAGAGCATTCAGAGAGGAGGACAAGAAATCATATTTGGGATTGACTCTCTATCTTCTCAGCGCGCTCAAGCGCTCAGTGCGAGAGGGAGTGAAAATTTTAATAAATGGCCAGACGATAAATTAAAGCAAAATGTGAAACAATAAAGGATGTGGAGGAAGGAAATTCTTCACTCCTCTTCATCACCCATTCATGCAAAAAGGGTGGAGTTTTTCAGTCGCAAATCAGAGAGAGGGAAAGAGAGTGAGAGAAGGGCGAAAGAGTGGGTGGTTGTGGTGTACAAGACATGCAATTGCATGATGAATTGCCACTATTAAACACTGTGAGGATAAAAAATAATACTTTTGCAAGACAATTTCACATGAATCTTAAAGATTGTGGAATGTCAAAAAGATATTTGACATGTTCAAAACCTAAAAATCACTGAAAATAACCTCAAGACTTCTTTCTTTCAATTTTCACCCAATGCTAAATTACTCAATGGCACACACTGTGAAATATCCATCTGGAAGGAAAAACACTCTCGACAGAATTACTCTGCCAAAAAATAATAAATCAGCATTCAGTGTGAAAATATGATTGAATGAAGCATTTCCTCAAACATTTGTCCTGCACTTCTCACTCATTTCATTCAAGAGAATCCAGATGAGAAATCACTTGATCGTCAGCCAATTGGGAATTAAAATTCCACCCATTAATCGCGATGAGATGCCAAAATTTGTGTGAAAATTTCCACACGGCGAAACATGAAAAAAATACATAACTTTGGCTAGAAAATGTTTCTCACACCCTCAAATCATCATGTCCAACCTAACGAGAGACTCAAGAGCAATATCATAAATGCGTTTTCCTGATTTTCACACACACACACACAAACACACATAAATATCATGACGATGTGTGCCAAAAATAATTGACAAAATGACGCATTTTCACTCACATTAAAATCGCATGGAAAGTTCGACGCTGCGCTAGAATATTTCATATGAAAATTGTTAACAGAATTCCAATGGAAAAATTTCCTGGCAATTTGTCAAAGGCATCAAATAAAGTCTCTTTCCCACCTTGTGTGCGCACGCTTCGCAGACGACCAAAAATTTCAATCACAGGTGTTTTTTGGTTTTTATTCATTCTCCAATTTCTGCTGAGATTGTGCAAAAAAAAGTGTGGTCAGGAACAGGAATTAAAAAAAAAAAAAAACAATGGTTTAAAAAACGCTCAAAGAACATTACAAATTCACGTAATAAATAAAGATCAGAGAGAAGAAGAGAGAAAATTTACGGACATTGAGAAACTCTTTTTCGTCACTTTCACTGCATTAAGTGTGAAAAATTATATATATAATTCACAACTGTGAAAATTTACTGTTCAAGAGATTATTATTGTGTACATTTTCATCAAATCCCATCACAATTTTCATCGAGAAAACCGTATTTTTTCCCCTGAAAACAGTGAAACACTGAGGAAAAAAAGACCGAAGAAAAGATCCCAGAGATTTCACACGATTTCTAATTTTGCCTACATTGCGGAGTTTATATTTTCCCAATAAACAATGTGCTAATGGAAGTTGAGATAGGAAAATTCATGGTGATGATTTTCATTCTTGCCTTGTAAAAATCATACAAATTCATAGTTCAATATTTGATGATTGTGATTCTTTTTAACGAGGAAAATAAAAATTGATGCATTAGCACATTATTAGCCTGATTCTCGCCACTCTTTCGCGCCCCTCGTTTTGTTTTCGCAACAAATTCTCAAGGGAAATTGCTTTCATGATAAGAAAAACATCCCTCGTTCTGTATTTTCTCTCTTTCCCTTCTTTTGGGCGTTTTGTAGAATAGAAATTGTATTAACGCACTGCTGAATGCACACAAGACGATAGACACTTTTATTCTGCTGATTTTCCCCAAGGAAACACAATTCTCAATTCAGACAGAAATTACTTATCTTTCATGTGATTCTATCGTAAATAATTCAAACAATATTCACAGAAGATTTCTCTTTCAGTTAACAACAATATCTGTGAATTTTACGATAGAATATTTGAGATCAAAATCTCTTTTTAATATATAAATTCAGCAAAAATTTCTCTCCCCTCAAGTCAAGAACCCACCAAGACAATAAATCATAAAATCCCTCTGGAAGAAATATTTCTCGCTTTTTCTCTCTCTCTCTCTCTCTCCCTCTTTCACTCTCTTTCTAGCAGACTATCATGCAGGAGAACGGAAAAGTACCCGAGAAATGTTTTATGAAAAATAAATCCATTTAGACAGCGAGAGAGAAGAAAGAAAGAAAAAGGCTACAATTTGATCCTCATTTTATCTTCTTTTCCATTGACGCGCATATCAAAAAGCAGATGAAGTAATAAAAGAGGATGGAAAAAGGCTGATAATCCCAATAAGTTCCCTCAAAAGAAGAAATTCTTCGTCAACAAGTGGGAAATGAAATATCAGATAATTTTGCATTGAAAGGACCTTTCTTCAGTCGAGAGAAATTAAGACGGAAGTTAACATGAGTTGAGAAAAAGATCCTATTTTCACACCAATAAATATTTGTAATCCTTCCAGAACGACATAAACATAATTTAAGAGTGGATAAACTTCACACACACACACACATTCACACATTTCATGGGGATTTTCACCATTGTAAATCCTATTCAAATCAATTTCCCTTGATCCAATTTCAACCCCCCTTCAATGTTATTGCATTTTATACGATGGGCAAGGGAGAAAAGAAGATATAAAATCAAATGATGAAGAATAAAGTGATAAGAATCCTCTTGAATTTTCCCGTCAATATCCTTTTCACCTCCACAGTTTCTCTCTCTTCAGCGCTGTTGAGGAGAAATAAAACCCATCGAAAGACACGTTGAGAAGGTAAAAATCCCCAAACATGATCATTCGTACGCATAGTGAATGAGATTTTCTCCGTTAAAGTCACACAAATGTAACAAGAGCATGATTTCCCATCTATTGATTTCTATCTGTCTCTCTTTCCCCCTTTTTTTCCTTCTACACATTTTACACAACACAGAAAATCCTCATGTGAAATTGGAAGTGAAGAGAGGAAAATGTTTGCGCGCATTCTATATATTTTGTGGCATTGGAAGGACACAAAAAAATAGTCTGCAGCATCACTTTCAATTAAAAATCAATCGATATTCGCTCTCTCTCGCTCTCCCATTGGAAACCCCAATGCGAAATAATGTTGAGCATCTGGAATATATTCAATGAAAAGAGTGTTGCGACGCACCATAAAAAAAGTGCGAAAAAGCTTTTCAAATGACTGACATTTCACGATATTTAAAGTGTCACACCAATGAAGCAGTTATATCTTTAACATAGTAATAAAAAAGTGAAGATTAACAACCAATAAAAATGCCAAAAATGATGGTTAATTAACTTCCAAGTAGATCAACACATTCATCATCTCAGCAAATGTGACAGAGCGGAAGATTAATTATGTTGCGATGGTCCAGAAATAATAACAATCAAGAGTGCCGCACACACTTCACAATTGTCAGAGAGATATGGAAAATCCCATACAATTTTCACCCACAATTCAATTTAAATTGATTTCCACACGATACACCGGCCGGCGTCTTTTGTATTTCTCCCCTCTATAAAACCAACCACCAATTCTCCTCTACAGGAAAGGGGTTAAAAACACACCGATTGCCATTACGAGTGGGGAAATAAGCTGTGGAAAAAGCCATGCTTTCATGGCACATTTGCACACAAAACCCGCTGTCTTTTCCCAAATCGATATTTATTCACCCAAACACAAACACACACACACAATCATGCATTGCATTACAGCAATTTATGTATGTGTACTTTCTCCCTGACTATGCAATCAAACCATTAGAGGAGAGCGTCGACGTCTCCTCAGCGTCTGCTTGCGTCCAGTACATCGTTGTGCAGCGTCGAAACATCCCCCAAAATAATATACAGCCGCACAGGGTAGAATTCTGGCTCTCATTCGCACTCATAGACACCCAAATCCCGCCGGTTGCCTCGGTGACGTGCAATCGCAAATAAGGGGTGGCACTGCCCGCCCCCTGCTCATTCTCTCTCTCGTCTCTCCTCTCCTCCAGTCCAGCACTCGTGGTGAGTGTTCAATTTTCAAAATGCAGCAGCCGCATTACAATACACTCTTGCACACCATGCAATTTGTGCAATGTCACAATTGCATCCTCGACATGAGAGATAAGAAGGTTTTTTTCTTTCTTTGGGAAGTGATCGAAATGTGAAGTAGAATAGTTAAAATTTACCCAGTTGACATGTGTTTTGTGAAGCTAGAAGATTATGTGCATAAAACACTCCAATGAAACTTCCTTCCTTCATTCATTATGAATGCCATAGTCAGTGAATGCGTTTCAGCATAAATTTCATGAGACGCCAAAACAAAATTCTCCAACATTTCTTCTTCTTGTGTTAGAGTTTAGGAAATGCTGTTAAATATTCATTGAAACTCCAGACAAGAGCGCAAGAGGATCAATTTCACCCAATTAGAGTCACACACAACACACACAAACACATGAAGATTCTCTAGCAGAACAGCAGACAACAGCAAGTAAATTGAGATAGTAAAGAAGAAGAGTTATTGCTCTCTTTTCTCTCACTTTTCACAAACATTTTAGAAAATCATCCCTTTTCGCAGCAGCAGCAAATCAATTGCGACTTTCATCATCATATATATATAATATTGACACACCCAATAAAATGCACATGAAAAGAGCAAAATTGCTTGAGAAAATTGCGGATATTCCACACACTGTGTGCAATGGGAAAAGTTGTGAAATGCAATAAACTCACCTCTTCAGGGACCTTCTCACACTCAGTGCCATTGACCACAATTGGCGGTGATGCTGGAGACGCGACGACAGGAGCAGCAGCGGCGGCGGCACCTTCAGTGGCAGCAGCATCAGTTGGTGTCTCACCCTTTGCCACCGGCTTCTGTTTGTCCCTTTTACTGAACGAGAAGTTCCTCAGGGACCATTTCTTCTTCACTTTCTCCTTCTTCGGCTTCTTATTGCTGTCACCATTCTCAGCAGGTGGACTCGCCGGCTCTGACACTTTGCTCTCATTCAGCGTCACTTCGCCATCACCATTCTCCACACTCTTGTTCACCACCTTCTCCTCCTCATCGTGTGTCTCATCCTTGCCATTTTGCACTGTCTTGTCCTTCTCTGTTGTCAAATCCTTCTCATTTTCAGCATTGTCCGGCGACAGTTTCTTATCTTTGTCCTGTTAAGAGAGAAAGAAAAAGAAAGACAAATACATTAGCAACTGCTTCAAAACACAATAACAAACTTTATTATTATTATCATTTCCACCAGAGGAAGCATAATTATTCCTCTAATTGGCAAAGAAAGGACACTGTAATTGATTCTCTCTCGCTCTTTTCTTTTTCTCCTCATCGTAACTTTGCACTTTCATTTTTTCTTTGATGCTTGTTTATAATGAAACAAACAAGCATCACAGTGAGAGAGAGGAAATTGGCAAATGATAAGAGAATGGATAATAATAATGATTATATTGAACAGAAATTCCAAGAAAGTAAACAATAAATTAATTTAAATCAGCGTCAGAGGTCATGGAGAGTCTCTCAATATAATAAATAAAGAAAGTCAAGTGAATCAAATAGAATATATATGTGAGTTGATGACGGTCAGAAATCTCTCTCTCTCTCTTCTCTATAGCGATTTGCAATTTGCAAATTCTCCCCATTCGAAGACAGAGAACGAGAGAGAAAGAGTGTGAAAGAGAGCCAAGAAGATGTACTTTGATTGAAGACAATCACCTTAATCAAATCAAACTGTCTTGAATCTTTGCGTCTGAACGGCAAAAACGGCATCACATCCCCTCCTTTTTGTGACATTCAACTTAAAAAAAAAATCCCGCTTCTCTTCATCACAATTATTAACTTTTATTGCATTACAATAACTCTGTGTGTGCGCGCGCAGTTGACAATGCGTCTCAATTAAATCTCAAGTCTTTGTGCGGAAGAACATACATCGCAGCTTGACCTTTTCAACTTGTGTGACTTTTTCCCTTCCCGTTGTTCTTCATGTCTTTCGCCACACTTCTTCATCCATTCACAAGAAGAAGAAGCAAAAAAAAAAACCACAAAATCGCTTGTTTCACACGACACTCGTTATGAGTTATTGCTTTTTTATGTCTCATGCCATAATTATGTGATAAATCACATTAATAGTCAATGCTAACCATCTTCGCAATGTCTTTTTCCACTAAACTTTATTCCTCCCATCAATTCCTCATCTGTCAAACGTTTTATTGAAACCCTCCAACAATTATATTTTAGGAACAAATATGAGACACCTAAACAATTCTACATTAACCGAACAATTTTATTACACAAGAAACTCCTCGAAGTTGGAAAATTGACTTCCAGTTAATGAATATTTGAAATTGTCATGTCTCGGAGAAGGAGGAAATTGCAGACTAAATATTACTGAGAAAATGTGATGAAAACTTTGAAAATAATTGCTTCACGTTCACTTTGTCAGCCACAGAGAATTTCATTTGCTGCATTACTGAATTTTCCCTGTGCAGAAAGTGACGCTGAAGAAAGTTTCCCACAAGAAGTTTCCAAGAAAAACTGTTTGATCGAACAAAACCAAACTGAGAGTTTCACATTAAATGCAATCAAGTAAGATTGACCAGAGAATTTGTGAACATTTTGCATTGATTTTGCCAAAGAAAACACATTTTCAGTCAACAATAAAATTCAATTAACTCATAATGAAAAATTGTAATTTTCCACCTTATACAATGTTGCACAAAGGAGAATTTAATCATAAAAATTCTGACAAATTGACGTTGATGAATTTTCTTCTTTCCACCAAAGTGAGAAAAATCTCTCCAAAATTCTATTTAACACCACAATTTAATGCTGGTGGAAAAAATTGCTCAAGCATCGCTCTGTTTCCATTTATAAATTCCATAATACACAACAGAAAAGTTGGAAAGAAAGAGTGTTGAAAAGTAATTTAGCAGAAAAAATGCATTTTGCCCAACTTCTTACATATATTTCCATTCCAACTGTTTCCTATCATTCACTCAATCTGCTTCCACTTCTTTTCTCACACATTGGAGATGATTAAAATTAGATTAAAGAAGCAGAAAAGATTATTAAAATTCAATATATTCTTCTGCACGCTTCATGGAACATTGTTGTATATACAAGAAGTTTAAAAGGAGTGTTTTATAAGAACGTGAGAAGTGAGAATTGCGAAGAATCTCTCGAAATCAATCAATTGCAAATAGTTTTAGCGCGCGGTCTTTAGAGAGAGAGAGTTTATATGCTCTCTTAAAGCACTACATTTTATTATTATTATATTGAATATACTCTTATGGATAGTGACATGCATTTGGACATTTAAGGAAAAGGTTACAGTTGCAAGTCACGCTCTCATGACAGTGTTTATGTGCTTTTTGTCTCCAAACATTGCAAAATTCCCCCCTTCTTCATCGTCTTCTCTCTTTCACACACACAAAACATCAACTGAAAGCTCCTCAACATTCAGTAGCAACAACTCCGCGCCCGGGATTGTGATGAAAATGATCAAAATGTTAACATGAATAGGAGAAACTTTTGGGACTGGCACACATTGAATTGGAATATTGAGCATGGAAGTGAATGATGGCAAAAGTTTCAACTCTTGCCAATGGGAGTACAGTGTATAAACATTAAACATAATGTTTGACTGCCACAGAGCATGAATATTGAGAAATCACACGATAGCAATTTGGTCAGAATAATCACATGGTCAGTGAAGAAAATTGCATTTCACAGCTAATAATGCAGGTCTTGGGCATTCAATCAAAGCAAATGATGTTGGAAATTCTCCCCAAGTTGATATATCCTTTCGATTTTTTTGACTGACGCTCGTGCATAGAAAAGTACACAAAAGACAGCGTGTTTCAAAAGAAACTAAGAAGGAAAAAATGTACGTGATTTGTCGAATACGAAAAAAAAATGCCGCGATCGTTCTACATTTTTCCCTCTCATAATCTGTGCCACAGTATTCAATCTCATGACTCAACAGTGCAGCAAAAAATCCTACATCAACGATAAATTAGTAATTATCTCTTTGGCTATTGTAGTGAAAAGGATTTTTTTCTCTCTCCTCAATCTTAAACTGCCAGAAGAATTTCAGAACACACAAGCGTGTGTGTGACCCACAAAAAATGCTCAACCACGTTGTTTATCGTGATGGTTTTTAGTCGTTAATAAATCCCACTAATATCGGTTTAGTGTACTTTTCACGGACAACACAAAATTATGCTCTTGTGCTGCTTCTTGTGCTCTGGCACAACTTGAGAGATGATTGCGAAGATTTCACAGAGTGAGAGAGGTAAAATTAGAACTTCAAGAACGAAGTTTGTGCTGAAGAAAAAGGAAAGGCAAAAGAGGAGTGTAGTATTAGCCAATCAACTTCTTCATCACCACCGGCTTCTTGCCCACAAACACACGTTGTGTTGTTCATAGAATCTCGAGGAGATTATTCATTATATTATTGCCACTCTCTTTGCAAATGTACTTGCAATAATACGGCTTGCTGTTGCGCGCATATGAATTGGAAGGCAAGAAAAAAAAATGGAGAAAATGTCGAGTATTAAATCAAACAAAGAACAAACCATCAATGATCCAGTGTACGATGTTTTCTTGTAACTCATGGAAAATATCTCTCGCAGGAATATTTCTCTCAAGTCATCGTGAAATAGTTCTTCAGTCACTGAGTTTTGTTGGACAGAAAACACCTCTTTTTTTTTAGACAAACTCATCGAATAACTTTGTAAACTCATTTTCCATCCATACGTTCACCAAATCATCAACTTTGTGCACGTTTTCAAATTGCTGTGTAACAATGAATAGCAGTTGGAAATATACTGTTAAGTCAAAAGTGAATTCTCTTTGTTACTCTTTGTCACTCCTTTGACTTGATGCTAATGATAATGTTGAACTATTTTTTTCCCTGCACAAAAACACCTTGACTTATATCTTGTGCACAAAATCACACAACATCTCTTGCTTTTCTGTCCTTCAACTTCTTCTAGCGAGAAATTGATAAGACAGAGAGAGATTTAAATTCAATATGAATTCATAATATTAATTTCACTCCTCACAATGAATACTTGTGTGGTGCAATAAAAGACCGAAGGAGGGAAACTTTAGAACCAAAACCACTTCATTAATCACTCGAAGCAAGTCTTCATTTCTGAGAAAGTTGAGAAAATTAAACACCGCACATCTTTCCAAAATGATGGTTCTTCGCAATAAAAACCCTCACTAAGTGGCTAATTAATATTTTCCTTTTAATGGTGTTGTCGGATAAATCGAGAGAATTCATCAAGATATTCACGCGGCGCAGAGACACAACTCAGCATCTCTTCTTCTCCCTTCTTCTTCGCCGCGATGATACAGGTGTTTAGAGAGAAGATCAAGAGCAATAAAACTCGTTGGTTATATTTCCTCGAAAGAGCGACAAAAATGCACAAATGATCCTCAAACACACGCCAAGTCTCGAGCACGGAAATATTTCTGAATATTCGCTGAATTATTTGAAAATTCCAACAGAAAAACTTATCACAAATTTGCCATTCTCGCCATAAAAATATATTTAGAGTGGCAGAAAAAGAAGGGAAACAAAGAATTTAATTGCAACAAATTACTGCTCTTGACCTTCTCTCTCTCTCTCTCTCTTGACGAGGAGAATAAATATATAATTGATGTCCAACAAAGCACTTTTTGCAAGATTGCAGAGAGAATTGAATCAGACACATTTTCAGTCGTGACTCATGGAATTATTAAGTAAAAAATTAAGCAAAATCATTTCATTGGCCCACAAATTGGTCAAATACATACAATTCGTTGGAGAAATTCTTTTCCATTCGCCTCAAAAGCGAATCAAACACTTCTTTCAAGGCAAAAATGCTATAGAAACTGCATTGAAAATATATCAAATAAGCTTTAGGATGTGTTGTGTTGAAAATACATTCCACTGTCATGTTTAAAGTATAAAAGCACGTATTTGGTTGTCTATCGCAATGAAATTCCTTCCCTCACACACTTCACTCTCATCAGCAAAAAAGCATTTAAATCACCAATAGAACAACAATATTATACTGTTTGAATTCCTTCGGCACTTCTCCAAACTTCTCCTCCTCCTTCTTCTTCCTCAATAATAGCAAGCATATTGGAATGTGTGTATTTAAACAATTTC